AGTTCGATTTCTCAGGCACTATTCGACCAACTTTGCTCAAATTTTGCATTTTGCTATATATAAGTACATTCTTTAAAATGATGCAAAAAATTGTATATCTTACGAGTCAAAATTTTTTCGATTATTCCTAAATAAAGAATATTAAATATTTACTAAAAATTATTTTTGCCTGGAATTATCTTTGGATAAACGAATTTTATAATTGCGTGTAAAAAAATTTCAATTCGCTTAAAACGTTCTCGAGGTATAGCGAAGTAAAATTAACATTATGGGATCTAAACTTTGGAGCTCTCTCCTAAACAAAACTATGTGCACCATATTTTCCAAATTGCGGCTACCTCCTATATATTGGAGGTCAGACATCTGAGCCCCTTGAAAAAAAGGTATGTTTATTCGGGGAAAGTACATTTTTGTATCTGATTTCGCAACTTATTAGTCTGCATTTATTAATTAGCCCCTCGAGCTGTTAAGATTGAGTCCTAGAATGTGAGAATCCCAACATTAGATCAAAAGTTATTCAAGGTGGTCCGTTTTGTTTTGGTCCACTGTTCAACCAAGTTCAAAATTTCCATACGTACTTTGTTGCAAAGTCTGAAAAACTGCGGTATATANTTCCGTATTACTATTACAATTACTATATTTCCGTATTACTATTACAATTACTATATTTCCGTATTACTATTACAATTACTATATTTCCGTATTACTATTACAATTACTATATTTCCGTATTACTATTACAATTACTATATTTCCGTATTACTATTACAATTACTATATTTCCGTATTACTATTACAATTACTATATTTCCGTATTACTATTACAATTACTATATTTCCGTATTACTATTACAATTACTATATTTCCGTATTACTATTACAATTACTATATTTCCGTATTACTATTACAATTACTATATTTCCGTATTACTATTACAATTACTATATTTCCGTATTACTATTACAATTACTATATTTCCGTATTACTATTACAATTACTATATTTCCGTATTACTATTACAATTACTATATTTCCGTATTACTATTACAATTACTATATTTCCGTATTACTATTACAATTACTATATTTCCGTATTACTATTACAATTACTATATTTCCGTATTACTATTACAATTACTATATTTCCGTATTACTATTACAATTACTATATTTCCGTATTACTATTACAATTACTATATTTCCGTATTACTATTACAATTACTATATTTCCGTATTACTATTACAATTACTATATTTCCGTATTACTATTACAATTACTATATTTCCGTATTACTATTACAATTACTATATTTCCGTATTACTATTACAATTACTATATTTCCGTATTACTATTACAATTACTATATTTCCGTATTACTATTACAATTACTATATTTCCGTATTACTATTACAATTATTATATATCCGTATTACTATTACAATTACTATACTTCTGCATTACTATATTTCCGTATTACTATTACAATTACTATATTTCCGTATTACTATTACAATTACTATATTTCTGCATTACTATTACAATTACTATATTTCCGTATTACTATTACAATTACTATATTTCCGTATTACTATTATAATTACTATATTTCCGCATTACTATTACAGTTACTATATTTCCGTATTACTATTACAAATACTATATTTCTATAGAATTCGGAGATTGACCGTTAGTTTATAGTCAGTATCCATAATTGAAAGGATTTTTAGCAAAATTAGCTGAGTTGAAAATTAATTAATATAACCTGCTTCTGTTCTTTGAAAAAAAAGGCCCTGGGACCGTAACTATAACGAACTTATGATAAATTAGCATAGCCGACACTTAATTTATACGGTTATTACATAAAATTTCCCTACAGCATTATGATAGGGACACAAAAGTCCGGGTTCGAACACAGTCGGTGCTAAAGAACATCTCTCTTGCAGTCTCTCCACATTGGTGACGACGGACAAATAACAAACAACTCTCTCACTCCCCGACAGATGTATGGTAGCTCTACACTATTTCGCCCCGTTCCATTGTTCGCCTTGATTCGATTAATCAACTGAATCTCAAACAATGCCAAGGCCCGAACTGAAATTGGCTTTCACGATAATTCTTCAATTCATAGCCAATGTTTTTACATTTTACAAATAAATAAATAAACAACATGTACTTTTATGGTCAGCCTAACTTTACGGGCATACATTTATTTTAATGTCAATGAGTGGAACACTTTTTGTTGGTCACTACCCGAAATTAAAGGATTGAATTACTACATTTCAAATATAGCAACAGTTTTAGTCAATAAGATTTAAAAAATATTTTTATTTACGTATCTATACTCCGAATTGATACCGAGAGTTTTATGAAATTCTAAAAAATAAAACTCAGAATAATTCCGAATTATCGGAATTAATTCTATTTATTTTGTAAAATATTTATTAACCAATCATTTTCGATTTCACTAATCCAATTACAAATAAACCTGAGGACTGAATTTCAGATTCGAATCACTAGAGTGATATATTGATTCAAATCACTGTGTTAAAGCGAATCAGTGTTTTAATTCAATTGATGTTAAGTCATTTAACTCGTTTATCTTTTTATTATTTAAATTTATTACTACGCAATAGCAAATTCAGATATTTAGATAATATTTAGATAAAAATCTAGGAACCAAGTTAACCTGAAGCTAGTTAAACTTAACCTAGTTAATGAACCTAGTTAAACTTGAACTGCATATTTGCTTTAAATGAAGTAAAATTTGTTCGTATATTCATTTGACGCTTTTTTCACTACTTTGCTTTTTGTTGATTTGCGAGAAATGATAAAATTCTATTTATTCATTAACGTTGATTTTGAGTCACAGATAACAGTTCTATTATACGTAATAGATCTGTTATCTGAGCCAACTATGATTAATAGCAAACAATTTTGATAAAAAATTTTGCATTTATTAACTTTATTAAATTTTTATAATTCTTTTCTAACCAGTTTTATAGATTAATTCCATTTATTTTGTAAAATTTTTATAAACCAATTCTTTTATAATCCTTTCTTAGTAACTAAATTTTTTAATTATTTATGGAACTTTAATGGAAAATCAGCAATACGATCAATATGATAAAGAATAACTATAGACAGCGAAGAAACATTTTAATTTGATTTTGTTCCTTTACGGATAATAAATGATAAAATTGCATTTTACTACACTCTGCACTCAATAACCAAAATATGAAACACTTTCGAAGACATTTTTTCGGCAAGACATGCATACAAGACATTTTTTTATATATTAGACTCGCCATACCAGTATAGTATATCGTTTTATTTGGTCATTTTTTTACAGAAGAAAAGAACAGTGAACATTTTTGTTTTAATATCGATTTCACTGTGCCAAAACTAATTACAAAACATTATTAACAGCTTAAAAAATAAATTGAAGAAACTTTTTAACGTTATGAAAAAAAAGTGAATAAATTTCAATTAAAATTATTTTATCGCTGTGGGCAGTAAAGATTCAAAAATTAATTGATTTATTTTAATGTATTAATTTTATTATTCTTATTCGTTAATTTGAATCGATTCATTCGAATCCGCCGATTTTTCTTAGTGATTCAAAACAATTGCTCAAAAAATCGTTATTCAAATTATCGATTCCGAATTATCAAATTAGAATCAATTTTAAGGTTCCGTTTAACCTGATTCTAATTTTAAAATATTTCATATTTGTCTAGACAATATTAATCGCTATTACAATACAATAACAGTATTTGTCGCTATTACAATACCAACAACAATATTAGTCGCTATTACATTACAATTACAATATTAGACGCTACAGCACTGCACCCTCTTCTTGAAATCAAGATGAAAGGACAGGACAACGTCTCATCATAACGCTTTTAGTCCAGTTTAGGGGACGTTCAAAAAGTACGTACGTAAAAATGGAGAAATTTCACCCCCCCCTTTGTACATTACCGTACATAAGGTCTTACTCCCCCCCCTTAGAGTAGGTACATTTTTTTAGTCTACCCCCTTTTTCATAAAAATTGAGATAATTATGTTTTAAATAAAATTAAATATTTATTTAAAATAATTTATTCATTTAAATTATTTAAACAATAACACCCAACTTTATCTTTGAATCAATAAATAAAACAATCTTATCTGATCAACATAATAATTTTCTACAATCAATACAATTAATCTACAGTATTTTCCCAAGGACATTTCAAATGCTTCTCGAGAGACATCAATTCAGCGTTACTCTTGTCTGCGACTGATGAAAAATTTAGATTATCTTCATCAACGAGATCATTCATCCTCGATCCATTCTGCATCATCTTCGTTTTCCTGGTTTCGGAGGATGACCAAAAGTTCTTTCGCTCGACGAGCTACAACACGAACTGGTCTTACATTGTTGATTTGCAAAGAAGATTTGCATATTTTCTTGTGATCTTTCAAACAAGTTAAAGATGCAAAATATGTCCCACAAGTAGGACGAATTTTGCGTTTAATATCACCTTCTACCGATGGGCGTGCTGCATCGTATGGTATTTCTGTGATGGAGTTCAAGCTTATTTTTTGATTAACAGCAGCTTTTACAATTGGCTCCAACGTTTGAGATAAAAATAATGATGGAAAAGTTCCTCGTGGTTGATTACTCATTCTAACAAGTGATCGCCGTGTGAAAAAAAAATACAAGAACAAACATATGTATAATACATGTGTAGGAAAAAGTCAAATTTAAATTTGGTGCATGCTTATAATGTACGTACTTTGCATAATACCTCCCCCTCCCCATTGTACAAAACCGTACAAAATAGCAAATCCCCTCCCCCCTTCGGGATGTACGTACTTTTTGAATGGCCCCTTATGGATTATGATATTTTCGATAAAAGCACATTTTCTCTGGTTTAAGTGAATGGACATACTCCATTTGTTGTAACGTTCTATGAGTTAGGGATAGAGAACACCTTAAGCAGGCTAACTTACCTAATCTGTGGATTAAAACGATAGAGTTGTCTTTTGCACGAAATGGCAGGGCAGTAATATGATTCAAAGACTGGGCTCTCAAGGTGGTTTGTGGCAGAAAGAGTTCGAATATATCCGAATGTTTCCTGTGACAGGCGTAGTATCTTTTTATTCTTTTGACTGCTAAAGACGTCTTAAATGAAGACCCTCGAAGAAATCTCATCAGAAAATTGGTGTTCAAGTTCGGTGTCACATCATGGCATGTTTCTAAAGTGGGCAATTTCAGTTTAAAACAAGGGTCTTAATCGGACAAAAGGACGAGGCAAACATGTAATAATTCATAGGGTAAATATGAAAGGTGATAAAAACTATGGTGCAAAAGCTGTAATGCAGAGATGCCAACTTGCTCCGGACAGCGAATAATTATTTTCAAGTGGTAGTTTATTAATTGTGATTCTTGGGTTAACAAATTCAATTTAGTTGATTTTTATCCACCACTATTTCTAAATAATTCGTAGGCTTATATAATTCACCACTTTATAGTAGTTTTGTCATGCTAGATTTTTTTTAAAAACAAGCAAAATTAGTCAAATATTTGCAAAATTTACTTTGCATTTATTTACCGTTTTTTTTTTTTAATTATTTTGGCGTGTCCGGAGCAGTTGGCATCTCTGGTAATGTAATACCTATCTGAGTTTAGCGAGGAAAAACTTTAAAAGTTGTGTAAATGAATACTTTATTTCAAGTTAATACTTAACCCCTGGACATATCATTTCTTGATAGAGAAATGATCTTTAATTGCACTGTAAACAACAACTCGCGACGGAATGTCGAAAGAGATGCCAAATGCTCCGGACACGCCAAAATAATTAAAAAAAAAAAAACAGTGAATAACTATAAACTAAATTTTGCAAATATTTGACTAATTTTGCTTGCTTTTTAAAAGGTATAGCATGACATAACTACTATAAAGTGGTGAATTATATAAGCCTACGAATTATTTAGAAATAGCGGTGGATAAAAAACTACTAAATTACCCTTTAATAAAAAAATAATGAGTGAAATATAAATAATTAAGCAGCATTAATTATCTAGTGGTATTCGCTCATCTAATTCTATCAAATATAAAATTCTGGAAGGGGAGTAATGTGACGTAATTCCCATTAATAATATTGAATATTAATTCACTATTATATATATTGTGGCGTAACTACCACTACAAATATTAAATACCAAATCAGTAGTATATAAGACGCGTTAACTTGATTCGATCTAGATGTACCTTTTGATAGACGAAGGTTGACATAGTCGATAACTATATCCCCTTACGTTAAACGCCAATTATAAAGAAAATTTACACCATGCTTAGATATATTTATTCTTTTCAAGATTTATTTTCGCCAGGTTTGGCGTACGTTTGGAAATTATCAGACAATTCTGTAGATTGTTTACAAATCGAGCAGGAGAAAGTGAAAGTTTGTCTCGTATGCTACTGAACATTTTGCAGAAGCAGAAATAGATAATTATTATGCATGCTTACTTGCATAATAAAGATAATTATATTATCATAAGAAGATTAGATAATTTTTCAATTGTATGTAATAATTTTATAATATTTAATTTTTAAACGCTTTGGTTTTGTTAAGCTTAGTTGAGAATTCAGATTAATATTATCGCTGTGCTGTGTGTATGCTTGATTAACAAACTAATTTTATTTTAAGAAATGTTGCATGTGTGCATTCTTAATAAATATATTCTTCTTTATATTGTATAGTAAAAAATAACTTAACGGATTCTTATGTGTTTCAAAGCTTACTATAATTATAAATTTTAATGTTGCTGAATTACAAAAATGGCAGCGGAAACTTTGCACTAAGTAGTGTTAAAACAGCATTTTGGTGATACACTATGCCAAAAACTATCCTTGTTTTTTAGTGTGGTGAAACATAAAGATCTAAAAGCTGTGTATGATGTTTCACAATAACATTTAGGTGTAAAGTGGTTGCCATCATTTTTGATGTTGAGATACATAAACAATTTTTATAGTGCAGAAATAAAGTTGTACAGTGAGCAATTAACTAAACTAAACTCAGTGGCGCGACAGCCAATAGAGGGCCAAAGCCTACTGTGCCCATCTCAGTTCTCTTGACCTTGGGCTCTGGGGCTCAAGCGCAGATGTTCCGGTCAGGTGGTCAGCCGAACACGGAACCCCCAGTGTTTAGTTCCCAAGCATGCTTGGTACTCATTTATCGACCCACTGAAGGGATGAAAGGCTGAGTCAACCTTGCCCGGCCCCAGGATCGAACCAGGAACCTGTGGCATGACAGCGCGAGGCGCTATCGCTCAGCCACCTAGCAGTGAGCAATGAAAGAAAAAAAAAATGGACCACCTTGAAAAATCAGATATCTAAAATTTGATTCTATTCAACCTATTCGAACTATTCAACCAATTTCACTCAAATTTTGTACCTTGTAAATTTTGTACTATTCTAATTTTGTACTATTGTAAATTTTGTACTATTCTAAAATTTTGTACTATTTGTAAATTTTGTACTATTCTAAAACAAAATAATGAAAAATAATGAATATTTACTAAAAATTATTTTTGCATGGAATTATCTTTGGATAAACGAATTTTATAATTGCGTGTAAAAAATTTTCGATTCGCTTAAAACGTTCTTGAGGTTTAGCGAAGTTAACATTAAGGGGTTTAAACTTTGGAGCTCTCTCCTGACCGAAACTATGGGAACCATTTTTCCCAGATTGCGGCTACCTCCTATATATTGGAGGTAGGAGGTAAGACATCCGAACCCCTGAAAAAAAGGTATGTTTATTCGGAGAAAGTACATTTTTGTATCTGATTTCACAACTTAATAGTCTGCACTTATTAATTAGCATATTTGAGGTCACCCCTCGTGCTATTAAGATTGAGTCCTGGATCGTGAAAATCCCAACATTAGATCAAAAGTTATTCAAGGTGGTCTGTTTTTTTTGGTGCACTGTACAACCAACTTCAATTTCCATAAATACTTTCTTGCAAAGTCTGAAAAACTGCGTATTGTATATATATACTCCATTTGTTGTAACGTTCT